AGCAGGACCTGGAGGCCTTGCAGAAAGACTTCGTTGGGCTCCGAGCCCCGCTGGATGCTGCAGGGAGAGGAAGGAGCGAACACTGCAAGGGGGGATCACGAGAATCCCCACTGTGCAGCCCATTCCTCATTCCTAAATGCACTGGGTAATAGTCCTGCATGAGGTTAGACCCTGGAGAGGGTCCTCCAGCCTTTCCTTGAGGTTGCAATAACTGCAACAGTACCAGTGGGCTCCCTACACAAATACAACCTCCAGTATAGCATGCATAAAGCCTGGCTCACACTATAGCTGCTATGTAGCAAGGAAGGGTCAACAGCTCTTCCTTGGAGAGACACCCAAGGCAGAAGAGTGATCGGTTGATATCCCTCCTACCTGCAGACAAAAACCTCCACAGGCTGCTGGGTGTTGGGTGTCATTATCCAGGGCGCCACGCGGAAAACCACCGTATCCGTGAAAATTGGGGTGCCTGGCGCATTCTGTGAGGGATAGAAACACCAGGGAGCAGTGGTTGAAAGCCCCACCATTGGAGGACTTTGCAGGGGATGGGGCAAACCCCACGTACCTTATGGGGGACCTCCAGCAAGCTGGCACTGAAGGAAACCAACCCGGAGAAGCCCACATCAGGAAAAGCCAACCCTTCAACGTAGAAGGTATTTTCTCCACTGCCGATGTGGTCCAGCACATAGGAAAGCTTGTTCGGCCCCAACACGGGTTTGTAGTGGGTGTATGAGTCACTCCCTGGAGAAACACCGAAATACCCAACCCAAGGCGGGGTGACCAACCTGTCCACCGGCTGGAAGGAGGCACCAGCAAGGAGGTGGCTGATGCCAGCATGGTTTGCAGAAGTGCTGGTGTGCCTCCTCTTCTCTGGGTAACACACTATCTTTCTCGTACAACGAGGACTCTATACCCTCAGGTCCAACCCTTTCAAGGTGCGTGGCTCGAGTTAAACATCTAATGATATACTTGGGTTCCCTGACCTGATTTTCCACGGGGAGCTGCTGGGGATCCAGCTGCCGGGGTGTTCAAAGGCAAAACGCGCTGCCTGACGAGATGGGCTGCTTTGGCGGCTGGGTCATTGCCCGCACTGAAAAGGTGCTGGGAGCCACGTGGGGGTTATCCACCCCGTGGAAATGTCAACATTTCAGCAATCCCAGTGAGAAAAGCCTTTTTTTATCCTTTTACCCTCGATTTTTCCTGTGTAACCCATCTTCTACAACAGCAGAGGAGCTTTGGGGATAAACGAGCAACTGGAGGTGCCCAGCCCTTAGCCATGGTGAACAAAAAAATGAGGATTCACCCACCTTGAGGTCATGCACAGAAAAAGGAAGAAATACTCACGGATAGCATGGAAAACCCGCACTTTATCCGCATCCGACTCGGAGATGTGCAGGACCACCTGGTACTCAGCAAAGATAGCGCTGGGACCTTGAGTCCGCAGCAGCATGACGGACATGTCCTGAAGGTCTATGATGAGGAAAAAGATGGACGGAGGGGATGTGGAGAGAGGAGATGGAGGTGTTGCACTTGGGAAACACCCTGGTGAGACCTTTTGGGTCTCGGTCTGCGGATGACACCCTACCTGCTGTGGTCCGTATGTCCACCTGACCACTGTCTGTGACCCCCGCACTGGGGCTGTCCCGGTCGCAGTTGACCAGCAGCACAGCACCTTGCCCATCCGGACCCCATGTCCACTTGGCCTGGAGGAAAAGGACCCAAAGGGGATGGGAGCAAGACTTCTCCCATTCCAGCCTCCTTGCAGACTGGGGAAAATCCCACAGCCACGCTTGGAGGACAACCCACACGATGCAGTCAAGGCTGCCGGGGAGAGAGCAGAGATGATTTCAAGCCACTTAATTTCCTAACCTCAGCTTCTAGCAGGGCCAGCAAAGACTATTTCAAACAGATGTTATCTTCCAACAAGCCGGAAAGTATCTGCCAGGCCTCACCTGGACAATACTATGCCATTTCTAGAAATGCATCTCATCTTGATGTACAATTTGTGCTGCCGAGCAGGCTGTAGCTAATTTCCTGGGTGTAAGAGCTTGGGTGTACGCAGATTTATTGCCAAAGGGGTAAATCTCTTGCTGTTTGCAAAACTTGCATCTGACTCATTTAGTGGCATGTTTCAAGTTCAAAAATGAAAAAAAAGAGAAGAAAAGAAAGCAGAAAAAAAAGAAATAAAGAAAAGAAAGCAGAGTATTTTGTCCTATGTGATCCTTGAGGCTGGACTGGAGAGGCAGGAGATGTTGGCACAGAATAAGAAAGTAAAGTCTTTCCCTCCTCAATTAGTAGGTTGAGAATTCGCCACATTATTTTCCCTAATTCAGACACTAGCAACACCACCCAAGTCCCTCTCCCTCCTGGAGATTTTTAGGGAAGGGAATGCAAACAGGTACACCCTACGCTGACCCTCTGTATGTTGCCTACAGCAAAGCTTCTCATTACCTTGTCCTTCCCTTTGCTCTTCACTCTGCCATTACGGTTCAAGTCCACGTCCAGGGATATATCTGAAACATCAAGAGAGAAGGAAGCCACTGGCAGGGGAATGAGCTCTTGATGGCATTTTGGGCTCATCCTTGGCACTAGCCATGAGTGACCCAACACCAACCCCACCTTCATGCCCCAAAGCTGCTCCAGACCCATCATCTCCAACAAAATGCCAATGAGAAAGTCAGCCCGATGGCTTTTTCAGGGCTTTCCCCCTTTGCTCTCCAGCTATCTTCTCCCATCTCGGTTCCCCCAGCAGGAACATACCCACTTTGTGGCATATTTTGTGTTTTCACCAATTTCAAATGTTTTTTAAGAAGCTGAAACATGGTGGGGGCATGAAAGTGTTTCCACCATGGGAGAGCACACACCTAAATAATTACTAGGGTTGATGCAATGTTTGAGAATAACTTTCCTTTAAATAGCCATTCTTGGCCCAAATCTCTGCCTCTGCCGCAATAAAGCGTTTACCAGCAACCTCATCTAAACCCTACCTAAATCTGCACTAAGCCTATCTTAATACAGATACTCCTCCAAATGGGATACACGGCGTGCAGAAAACACAGGCACTGAAGCAGAGATTGTCCTTCTTGATGCAGAGAGGAGGATGTGGAGAACCTGGAAATGAAGCCCTATATCTAAGTGAGCGAAGAGCATTTGTAAGGTAAAAGCCCTAGCAGACGGTGGTGGCCCCAGATGGCTCCAGTGGAGCCCATCAGTCGTGGGATGTGGGAAACCATTAGCCTCTTTGGGTGCAATTTTGGGAGGCATATGCATCACTTAAGGACACAGGTCTCACTGTCATGTGAACACTTTAGAAAATCCCAAATTTAGGGTAATTAATCCATCCAAGTGGAAGGCTCTGCATCCAGACTGGTTGTCTAGACTCCCTTTGTAGTCAGCAGAGGAAAATAGGCATTTCAAGGAAATGATTCATCTTATCCTAAACTTCTAAAATAGGTCAGACAACTACACTTTGGTGCCTATTTCTCTCCACTAGCTGCAATGGAGGTCGAGGAGCGGACGCCATCAAAAGTTGGGTGAGATGGTCTCCTTCGGATCCTCTTCCGCCAATGCAATGGTCTTGGCAAGCAGATGAGGATGCTTGGTGTGTGCGCTGGGTGGGGACACGGCCCAGCCTGTGTCTTTTTTGCACCATATAAGGTAGCATAATAACATTTTAATTATTTCCCTCTTGCTTGTCAGCATCAGTCAACACCCAAACCTTCATTGCACGTCACAGATGGGCAGCCCGCGCCCCCCACTTAACTCCTATCCCATGAACCCAACCAGATCTTGGCATCCAAAAGGGTTGGCCGGCTTTGAACAAGCATTGCTGTAATACCTACCTACGCAAGTGAGGTACAACCAAGCCACCGAAAGCTCATTGCCTTCCCGTCCATAGTATGAAATCTTAACCTGTGAAGACAACACCAGATCATGACCCAAGTCCCATGTCCTGTCATGCTGAGTAGATCTTTCCAGTCATTGGGTTGACCAACAAACGCTATACAACAAGCTCTTGGAGGGTTCATCCAAGCCATTCTCCATTAATCATAGTTCAGCCGAACCATTTCTGCCTGCTTCAGCATAAAAACAGGCAGAGAAAAAGCCAAGGTTGGAGTGTTTTTGCTGCCTGGCATGGAGTTCCTGACACCGGCTTTTGCAACCACTGCTATCTCATCTTTATGGCACAAAATGTGGTCTCATTCTCCTTCTTAGTTTCATTTTTCATACATGATAATTACAATTACAATTGTGTTTAAGTCTGAGTTTGCTCCATGAAAATAAGTCTGATGTCAGCATTACTTAGAAATACTCAAGCCTGCCCTTAATACTCCCTTCTTTCCTAGGAAGCTTGACTTATTTTTTGAGTTTCAGTGCACAAAAAGCAACTAACCTTATTGTCATTGACGGTCCTGCTGGTGACATCAACAGTCACTACAACCTCTATATCAGGATCCAGAGGCCATCTGGAGTTAAACATGGGTTTTGTTATGGGACTGTGGATGATGTGGACCATAACCGCGGAGGTGGCATGGACATCAAATGACGTGGCACCTTTGGGGGTAGATCTGAAACAGAGAGCAGCGTTGGGTTATAGACCAAGTTGTCCCTCCTGTTCTCCTCTGTGGAGCCAAATACTTGAACCTGGAATTAAAATCCAGCCATAACTGGGTGGAAAGGACTCAGAAACCATCTTTGGGTGATGAAACGCGTCATCTGAATTTTATATGTATTATCTCTGTGGTGGTGTTGAGCAAGCAGAGCTCCCACTGGAGCTTCAGCACGTCCTTCCGTGGTTAAGTCTAGACTGTGAATCACTGAAGTTTGGGCATCCAAACTCCCTCCACAACAGTAAGAGAACCCCCAAAATTTCAGCATTCCACAATAAAACCCTGATAAAGAGCCAGGACATTTTGTCATGTCAGCCATCCAGGGAGATGGTTATCGCAGGACCATACCCTGACCCAAGAGATGCCCAAACTGGAGCAGAGCCCGCACCCCACCTGCATGACATCCCTCACCTTTGAAGTGCTGCCTACCCACTCATTACAGCCCCGGCACCTCCATCCCAGGAGCATGAGTGCTCCAACCTGTCTGCCGTCGGGAGCCAGCCTCCCCGGCCACACGTGAAATGGGACAAGGTGGTAAATCTTAACACCAAGAACAAAGAAAAAAAACCAACACAGAAGAGATTTATTCCCAGTGTTGCTCTTGGCATTGCATCCCTGGTGCCTGCAGCGGCTTGTAAGGGGAGATTAAAGTTTCATCTCGCTTGTCACCCTTCATATTTAACATCGTGCAACATCAAAAATCCACCTGCACGCTGTTGCACACTATGACTTCTCAAATTTGGGTCTACTTGCTCTGATTTTACATCCCTCACACCTCAGCATGGCCACTGGATTCCCACCGTGCTCCATTTTCTGCTCCAAAACAGACCAAACCACCGTCAAAGCTTGATGCATCCATCACCAAGTTTCCCCCAGTCAGTGCCCTCCAGGAACAAAATTATCTGATTTTTTCACTTGAAAGAACATCCGCTATCTGCTTTTTTAGACCAAAGCTCAGATTTTGCTACTGAAGAGCCAAATCAGCCCATTTTGGGGCTTAGGCCCCATGTTTAAACGGGACTGAGCTTGCTTTGAGTCCAAATCCAGAAAAGAACCCTGCAATTAATAGTTTTCATACATTCCCATCTGGTTGAGGGGAAAAAGAATACTTTTTTAGCTCAATTTGAAGCCTTTTGGGGGGACGATGGCATATCCTGGCCCAGCTCCAACACACAGCCCCAATAATTGCCCCAGATGAGATCCCAACCAGCTTGTCCTGTAGTCTCTATCATTATAAACGTGATTTATTAAATAATGACAACGTAACAGCAGGGTAAATACAGCCTTGTATCTGACCAATAAAGCAACCCCCATATTTAACGCCAGAAAAATCTCCTTTTGTGAAACTGCCCGTGCAAATCCCACTGGTGGATTTTTTCTGCCTGAGCCACACATTTTATTCTTTACCCTGTTTTAGCTCCAGCCAAGTTGCTCGTCTTGAATTGCTCTTGCCTAATGTTTTCACAGCCAGAAATAGATCCCGCTTAGCCAGGGTGTGCATGGGTTTTGCTGCAAATAGGCATGGCTCGGCTACGCTTCGACGCCTCACGTTTGCCAGAACCAACGTCCCTCCTTTGGGTGCAGCTCCCCATGTGACAATGTCGCCTAAAACAGACCCAGCAGGACATGTACCCCGTGCACCGAACAAGCTCGCCAAATTCTTAGGTGAACTCACGATGTGGGCTCAAAATGAGCTCTGATTTCCCCCCTAGTACCCATTTCTCCTCCACATGAAGAGCAAAAACTCTGTTGGGCACCCCCAGAACCCACCAAGACCCTATGGAAAATATTGAGGGTACCCCAATCCCAAGCCTTACCGGCGCGTGTCGAGGAAGACCTCGGTACCCAACACACAGACGCTGTAGCTGGCATGGCTGGTAGACATCTGCACAATGTGACGTTGGGGCATGATGTGCCGGAGACGGCAGCCGCATGTGAAGGAAGCTGCTGCCTGGCGGTGTAGGTAAACCAGCACGACTGGATTAAAAGGCAGGGGAACTAAACTCCTCCTTCCCTCGATGACGGGGTTTAGCCAGGGGACCCTGCCGTCTCCACCTCCACCACCCAGCAAGCTGCCGCCCCGCTCGGGGAGATGCAGGTGATAAGGCAGCCCCCGGGGGGGCCGGGCAGCTCCAGGGAGGGGACATGGGGCGGAGGGGCAGGACAGGGTGGGTGACACCCAGCCCTGCCCAGGGATGCTTGGCAGCGAGCTCTTTTGGGGCTTATTCTCACCTTTTTATTCCCTTATAGCTCCATATAAGGACTCCAAAGCTTAATGCATTAAACATTTCAACTCCTCCTGTTGCACAATGTGGTTGTTTAGAGTTATTACAATATATGGTATCATTAAAATAAAACATTTTTTTTTAAAACGACCCAAATTTTCCATCTAGGCTCTCTGCTGGTGACTCACAGCCTCGGCTACCCCATTAGGGCAATGCCCGAATAAAGCCTGACAGAAGGAAATATTTGTTCAGGTCGGTCCTTCCCATCGTAACAACTCCCGAGAAGCGCGACGGGCAGAAACAAGCGCAGGGAAAACTGGTTATTTAGCAGGCAGGGAAGAGGAAAACAAACAAACAACAACAAAAGGCTTTCAGTGGAAATTAAAAGTTCTCAATGTTTCGCTTGGACATGGCGTTTCGGGGGAATAGGTTTGGTTTTTTTGTGCATGCAGCAAAGCTCCCATGGGAAACATCCTCATTGCTGGAAGATGTCATGTACTGGAAATAGCCATCTCTCTCCTGCCCATCACAGGAGGCTTCGCCTGCCTGCGAAGAGGGAAACC